CGCGGCCCACGCCAGGCGTGCCGCGGGCGCTCGTGGGCGCTATCTCCGAGCTATCTTTGAAGGGCGCCACAGACGGCGCCTTCGCTGTAGCCCTTGCGCTCGCTGCGGCCGCCGCCCACGCCAGGCGTGCCTCGGGCGCTCGTGAGCGCTATCTCCGAGCTATCTTTGAAGGACGCCACAGTCGGCGCCTTCGCTGTAGCCTGTGCGGCCGCTGCGGCCGCGGCCCACGCCAGGCGTGCCTCGGGCGCTCGTGAGCGCTATCTCCGAGCTATCTTTGAAGGACGCCACAGTCGGCGCCTTCGCTGTAGCCTGTGCGCCCGCTGCGGCCGCCGCTCACGCCAGGCGTGCCTCGGGCGCTCGTGAGCGCTATCTCCGAGCTATCTCTGAAGGACGCCACCGTCGGCGCCTTCGCTGTAGCCTTTGCGCCCGCTGCGGCCGCGGCCCACGCCAGGCGTGCCTCGGGCGCTCGTGAGCGCTATATCCGAGCTATCTTTGAAGGACGCCACAGTCGGCGCCTTCGCTGTAGCCTTTGCGGCCGCTGCGGCCGCCGCCCACGCCAGGCGTGCCTTGGGCGCTCGTGAGCGCTATCTCCGAGCTATGTTTGAAGGACGCCACAGCCGGCGCTTTCGCTGTAGCCTTTGCGGCCGCTGCGGCCGCGGCCCGCGCCAGGCGTGCCTCGGGCGCTCGTGAGCGCTATCTCCGAGCTATCTTTGAAGGACGCCACAGTCGGCGCCTTCGCTGTAGCCTTTGCGCCTGCTGCGGCCGCCGCCCACGCCAGGCGTGCCTCGGGCGCTCGTGAGCGCTATCTCCGAGCTATCTTTGAAGGACGCCACAGTCGGCGCCTTCGCTGTAGCCTCTGCGCCCGCTGCGGCCGCCGCCCACGCCAGGCGTGCCTCGGGCGCTCGTGAGCGCTATATCCGAGCTATCTTTGAAGGACGCCACAGTCGGCGCCTTCGCTGTAGCCTTTGCGCCCGCTGCGGCCGCCGCCCACGCCAGGCGTGCCTCGGGCGCTCGTGAGCGCTATCTCCGAGCTATCTTTGAAGGACGCCACAGTCGGCGCCTTCGCTGTAGCCTTTGCGCCCGCTGCTGCCGCCGCCCACGCCAGGCGTGCCTCGGGCGCTCGTGAGCGCTATCTCCGAGCTATCTTTGAAGGACGCCACAGTCGGCGCCTTCTCTGTAGCCTTTGCGCCCGCTGCGGCCGCCGCCCACGCCAGGCGTGCCTCGGGCGCTCGTGAGCGCTATCTCCGAGCTATCTTTGAAGGACGCCACAGTCGGCGCCTTCGCTGTAGCCTTTGCGCCCGCTGCGGCCGCAACCCACGCCAGGCGTGCCTCGGACGCTCGTCAGCGCTATCTCCGAGCTATCTTTGAAGGACGCCACCGTCGGCGCCTTCGCTGTAGCCTTTGCGCTCGCTGCGGCCGCCGCCCACGCCAGGCGTGCCTCGGGCGCTCGTGAGCGCTATGTCCGAGCCATCTTTGAAGGACGCCACAGTCGGCGCCTTCGCTGTAGCCTTTGCGCCCGCTGCGGCCGCCGCCCACGCCAGGCGTGCCTCGGGCGCTCGTGAGCGCTATCTCCGAGATATCTTTGAAGGACGCCACCGTCGGCGCCTTCGCTGTAGCCTTTGCGCCCGCTGCGGCCGCCGCCCACGCCAGGCGTGCCTCGGGCGCTCGTGAGCGCTATCTCCGAGCTATCTTTGAAGGACGCCACAGTCGGCGCTTTCGCTGTAGCCTTTTACGCCCGCTGCGGCCGCGGCCCACGCCAGGCGTGCCTCGGGCGCTCGTGAGCGCTATCTCCGAGCTATCTTTGAAGGACGCCACAGTCGGCGCCTTCCTCCAGTTCGCCCTCTTAAGCCCCGCTTGCGGCCCGCAACCCACGCCAGGCGTGCCTCGGGCGCTCGTGACGCGCACCAGCGCTATTCCCGAGCTATCTTTGAAGGACGCCACAGTCGGCGCCTTCGCTGTAGCCTTTGCGCCCGCTGCGGCCGCCGCCCACGCCAGGCGTGCCTCGGGCGCTCGTGAGCGCTATCTCCGAGCTATCTTTGAAGGACGCCACAGTCGGCGCCTTCGCTGTAGCCTTTGCGCCCGCTGCGGCCGCGCCCACGCCAGGCGTGCCTCGGGCGCTCGTGAGCGCTATCTCCGAGCTATCTTTGAAGGACGCCACAGTCGGCGCCTTCGCTGTAGTCTTTGCGCCCGCTGCTGCCGCGGCCCACGCCAGGCGTGCCTCGGGCGCTCGTGAGCGCTATCTCCGAGCTATCTTTGAAGGACGCCACAGTCGGCGCCTTCGCTGTAGCCTATGCGGCCGCTGCGGCCGCCGCCCACGCCAGGCGTGCCTCGGGCGCTCGTGAACGCTATCTCAGAGCTATCTTTGAAGGACGCCACAGTCGGCGCCTTCGCTGTAGCCTCTGCGCCCGCTGCGGCCGCAACCCGCGCCAGGCGTGCCTCAGGCGCTCGTCAGCGCTATCTCCGAGCTATCTTTGAAGGACGCCACCGTCGGCGCCTTCGCTGTAGCCTTTGCGCCCGCTGCGGCCGCGGCCCACGCCAGGCGTGCCTCGGGCGCTCGTGAGCGCTATCTCCGAGCTATCTTTGAAGGACGCCACAGTCGGCGCCTTCGGTGTAGCCTTTGCGCCCGCTGCGGCCGCGGCCCACGCCAGGCGTGCCTCGGGCGCTCGTGAGCGCTATCTCCGAGCTATTTTTGAAGGACGCCACCGTCGGCGCCTTCGCTGTAGCCTTTGCGCCCGCTGCGGCCGCCGCCCACGCCAGGCGTGCCTCGGGCGCTCGTGAGCGCTATCTCCGAGCTATCTTTGAAGGACGCCACAGTCGGCGCCTTCGCTGTAGCCTTTGCGGCCGCTGCGGCCGCCGCCCACGCCAGGCGTGCCTCGGGCGCTCGTGAGCGCTATCTCCGAGCTATCTTTGAAGGACGCCACAGTCGGCGCCTTCGCTGTAGCCTTTGCGCCCGCTGCGGCCGCCGCCCACGCCAGGCGTGCCTCGGGCGCTCGTGAGCGCTATCTCCGAGCTATCTTTGAAGGACGCCACAGTCGGCGCCTTCGCTGTAGCCTTTGCGCCCGCTGCGGCCGCGGCCCACGCCAGGCGTGCCGCGGGCGCTCGTGAGCGCTATCCCCGAGCTATCTGTGAAGGACGCCACCGTCGGCGCCTTCGCTGTAGCCTTCGCGGCCGCTGCGGCCGCCGCCCACGCCGGGCGTGCCTCGGGCGCTCGTGAGCGCTATCTCCGAGCTATCTTTGAAGGACGCCACAGTCGGCGCCTTCGCTGTAGCCTTTGCGCCCGCTGCGGCCGCAACCCACGCAGGCGTGCCTCGGGCGCTCGTGAGCGCTATCTCCGAGCTATCTTTGAAGGACGCCACCGTCGGCGCCTTCGCTGTAGCCTTTGCGCCCGCTGCGGCCGCCGCCCACGCCAGGCGTGCCTCGGGCGCTCGTGAGCGCTATCTCCGAGCTATCTTTGAAGGACGCCACAGTCGGCGCCTTCGCTGTAGCCTTTGCGCCCGCTGCGGCCGCGGCCCACGCCAGGCGTGCCTCGGGCGCTCGTGAGCGCTATCTCCGAGCTATCTTTGAAGGACGCCACAGTCGGCGCCTTCGCTGTAGCCTTTGCGCCCGCTGCGGCCGCCGCCCACGTTTTTGCGTGTCGTGCGGCTGGCCGTGACGCATCGGCGATGCATTCCGCGGGCACTTGCGTTCCAGAGCAGTGTCTCGTAGAGCATGTCAGAGTTTCGGACACTCCAAAGGCATTGGCGCTGTTTCGGTCGTCGCAGGGTTCTGCCATAGGCGATGCAGTGTGAGCAAGAGAAGTTGCACACAGCTCTGGCCATTCACGGACTCGGGAGAGGAGAGGCGACGCACGGGCAGTGTTGGAGAGTGCGTTTTATGGCATGACACGCGCACGTGTTCGCAGGTTGGAAGGGGGAGAGCGAGGGGGAGGGTCTGGCTCCCCCTCGCACACTGTTGACATGAACATGCGTTGCCAGGGACGAGTTGCTCGCGCACAGGTCCAGGAGACATTTTCGAACATATCTTTCGCAGGGGAGAGTAGAGACAGATGTATTGGCGACGTGCTGCAGTAGTCATTCGGAGCGGGCAGTGTTTCACATGGATGGAGAGATGCATGGGCGGTGCAGTTCTCAACGGCAGGCGTCGGGCATGCGGGATTATCTCCGTTGTGCGAATGTCTGTGAGCGAATGCAGGAGAGCGCGGATGCAATTTGCGAGCTTTGGGTGCGAGATGCATTGGCGATGCGTCCCAGCATGTCGCGGTGGAGGCATGTGGTGAAATCTCGCATGGAAGGACAGCGTCGGAACATTTGTATTGGAGTCGCGGCTCTCACTTTCCTGAAAGGCGCAGCAGGCAGCGGCCTCTTCCAGATGCACGATGCATTGGCGATGCGCCTCAATGGCCCGCGGTAGATGGTGGAATGCTGGTTGCGCTCCTGAGGGGGCTCTCGACGCAGCGGCGATGCATCGCGGAATGACACTAGAAATGCTGGAGCATGTGCTCTGGCACGCCGCCGTTGCCATTTGGGCTCAGGAGAGATCTGCAACGCTCCCCGATTGTCTGGCAGGCGCACCCGCCGCCATCAGTCTGTGCAGTTTCTTGACATTGGTACTTGTCGCGCAGTCTCACCATGGGGCCGCGTCGCTGCGAGGGATTCGTCATGGGGGACGGCGCCGTGATGGAGTGCTGCTTCAATTCGCACGAGGCTGGGAAGAAGGCGCAGGCCAAGTTCAACGGTCGCTGCATGTGGTGCTCGCCGGTGCGCCTCGAGACGGTCTGCAAGGACGCGCGGCAGTCCAAGTTGGCGGCGAGGTTCTTGGTCATTCTGAACGACTTGGACAAAGGCATCTTCGACGTGGCCGCAGAGCGTCTCGCCGCGCACGAGAACGGCAACGAGATCGTGGACCGCGCCAGCGCCATCCTGGCCGAGCGCGCGGAGGTCGTCGACCAGCAGCCGGCCGTGGCAGCAGCGGCGGCTGAGGAGGACCTGCCGGATGACGGGCGCAATTGGCTCCAGAGGCTCCAGGAATGCCAGGAGGTCCCTGGAGGCGTTTGGAAGCCGCAGGATGCGCCTGGAAGCACCAGGACCTCCAGGAGGATTCGAGGCGCGAGGGGCCGCGTGGCCTTCCCAGCTCCCTGCCTTGCAGTCGTCGCAGCTGCGCGCCCAGGAGGTTCCAGGAAACCGCAGGAAGCTCTTGAAAAATTCAGCAGGCCCCACGCCTTCTAGAAGATCTTAGGAGTTTCAGGAGCTCCCAGGAAGGTTCGGAAGCCGCTCCAGGGGATCCAGGAGGCCACAGGAGGCCATGCCTGCAGCATCTGCCACAGGAGCCGAATGAGGGAGACCAGGGCGACGTCGCCATGCAGCTCGCCGAGGAGGAGACCGCTGGCGCCATGGGGCCCGCCGATGAGGCTGCCGCAGCCGAGCCACCGCCAGTGCCCGCTGAAGGCGAGAGCGCGCAGGGCGAGCGGCCGCCGCCTGCGCCGCGCTGTGCTCGGCGGCTGTGCGAGGGGTACGCCTTGGCACAGGCTATGGGGCGAAAGCTCAGGGCCAAGCAGGAGAGTGGCGTTTGCGTCTTCTCGACGGTGAAGCCAGGGCTTCGCGCGAGAGCAGCAGACGGCCACTGCGTGTTCTGCACGCCAGAGCGCATGAAGGAAGCCGTTGGGAATCCAAAGAAGCAGAGGAACGTGGTTTCCGCTCTGAAGAAGTTCGAGCAGGAGAAGCCTGCGGCCGAGAATCAGCAGCCCGAGATCTACCAGAAGGCGCTGGGCAGGCTCCGCAGGCACCTGACCGTGGAGGAGTTCAAGACCATTGTGACGCCGAAGCATTGCTGCCGGGGGGCTGGCGCAGACATGTGCATCTTCAACACCAAATTGCCAGGGAAGCCCGCGCGTGTGAAGAAGAGCGACAACAGCTTGTGCAGTTGGTGCGATCCTGGGCGGCTGCGCACCATGCAGACGAGCAGGGCTGGCGGCATCTTGGCACAGCTAAAAGTGTTCCACGAGAAGAACCCAGTGGTGTCAGCGAAAGCCAAGGAGATTGCAAGAGGGGTCTTCGGGGACGACTACGTGGCGAAGCTGCAGCAGAAGCGCGTCAGAGCGTTCCAACAAAAGGCCCGGCACCTCCGGCGGCATGGCGACCAGAAGAAGCAGTGGGCCGAGGCATTGAAGACACGGCATCTGCAGATGGCACCGCCCCACGAGGATCGCGAGGCGCGGAAGAGGTACCGCGCTGGCGTACTGGCCGACCAGAAGAAGGTCATGAATTCTTTCTTTCCCGAGGAGGCAGAGAGGAGGCCGCGCGGGCGCGCGGACGAGGTCCCGAAGCCAGACGACGTGCTCCCGCCGCTGAAGGACGCGACCCACTCCGATCTGTCGGCGGGGCTCCGGTCATGGTTGGAGCGCGGTTCCTGGGGCAAGTGCAGGACCTGCGGTTGCTTGCAGCCGCGGCCGATGCACGAGATTGACCTGGCGGGCGACCCGAAGGTGGAGATACCGCAAAAGCAGTGTCGACGATGCAACGCTGGGCGGGACTACTGGGCGCCCTGTCCTGACGACGTGCCGAAGCCGCTCCGCAATCTCTCAGAGGACATCGTGCAGGCTTTGAGGCCCGTCGAGATCGACGTGGGGCCAGAGACGCGCTCCACGGACAGCCTTGGCCGCTGGAACGGGTACCGCAAGAAGGTGAAGATGGTGACGTTCTACTTCTCCAAATGGCGCGTCGTGGACAAAATCAGCGAACTTGAAGGGAAGGATACCCGGAGTACGGCCCGGAGGGCTCACAGGTACCTCATGTCTTGCGACGAGTCTGCGTACCGGCGGTTCCACGATATGCACGAGACATTCATGAACAAGCACGGGGAGGACGCTGAGGACAGGAAACGCAGGCGGCCGTATCATTTCCTCCAGGAAGTTGGCCTCGAATGCGCCCTGTGGCCGCAGCTGTATTGGCGCGAGGACATGACAGAGACCCATGAGCAATGGTCCGACGTGCGCCGCGAGGAGAACCGCGAGGCGAAGGACCCGAAGAAGAAGCGCGCCAGGTACGGCGACGACAGCGAGGAGTCGGCCTGCGAGGATGCAGAGGAAGACGAGGAAAGGGCCGGTCAGCGCACGAGCGTGAAGCGCTCGTTTATAGCCAAGTGCATGTCTGACCTGATCGGCTACCAAGGCAATTTCGAACTCCTCCAGTTCGTCTTCGACTTGAACTTGTGGGCCACTCTGGGCGCGAAGAAAAACCTGAATCTGGAGAACGTACCCATGCGCATCCGCATGAAGGGCCATCCCTTCTCCCCGCTATATTGGAAGGACACGCTGAACGCGTTGGTGGATCTCGTGCGACAGGTTGGCCTTCCGAAGCTCTTCTTCACGATAGCGCCGTGGGAGCAGTCATTCCCGTACCACGAGTGGCTCCGCGACGAGATGCACAAGACGCTGAAGACGCGAATGCATCTGCCCGTGGGCGAGACCTTGCACATTACTCATTCCCTTATGCAGATCGTCCGCGGGGTGATTGCGGGAAACAACCAGCAGAGCCAGGGCCGGGCGGACCGAAGGTGGAAGAAGCATGTGTTCTCGAGCAAGACCGAGGACGGCGTCGGGAACAAGAGTGTCATCTCGTTCACGCGCGTGGAGTTCCAGGATGGCAGCCGCAAAGAGGGGACGAAGCGCTACGACGGATCTGGGCGGCCGCATTTGCACGTGCTCTTCTTCGCCGACGAAGACGTCTTGGCTGACGCAAAGCTCGAGCAGCACATCTTCGCTTCGAAGAGCGACGAGTTCAGCGACCACCTCAAGGGCTACATCGACGGCTCCCAGTTGGACAAGCGCGGCGAGTCGGAGAGCAAGTGGCCCGTGTACAATGGAGAGCCAGGGTACCACGTCCAGGCAGAGAAGCTGCTGCTCCAGCATTCCAGTGCCGACAAAGAAGCTGGCCTGCGCGCCTTCTGCGTGGACGTCATGGACGCGGTTCCGATTCACCAGGATTGGTTGGAATCGGATGGGGAGTCGCTCCTCTTGCAATACGTCACCAAATATGTCGCCAAGTTTTCAGATTCGAGCTACGATGAGTGGATGAGTGACCAGGCCTCCGCGGACAGCGTGGCTCGCAGGGTTTGCTTCGAGTACCACCCGTACGAGCCCGAAATGATTTTGCAGCTCTGCGGCGCGCAGTACCGCCAGGTGGACCTGTCGACGGTGAGCGGGGGCTGGAAGTCGGTGGCGGCTCCTTACGTCGGCATGCAGGAGACGCCGGCGTGGGTGAAGAAGTACGAGAGCTGCCCGTGGCGCAGCGAGGAAATGTGCTTGCTGGACTGGCTGCGCAAGACGAACGACTCTGGCGAGATCGCGGGCTGGCTGAAAGCTCGCCACCAGAAGGCCTTGTGCGAAGCTGCGTACGAGCATCACTGCGGCACGATGACGCCTGGCACAGAGCCGCCGTCGCAGACTGCATTTCGAACCGATCTGCGGAAGCAGTACAAGCAGAGCGACGAGAGCGCCCCCTTCGTAGACTGGATGAAGGAGATATCCGTGCGCGCGGGCGCGAGCGTGGCCGACTTCCCGACGCTGGAGGAGTACGCGCGGACCTACACTGTCAGAGGAGAGAAGATAGTGGCGGTGGACACGGTGTTCGAGTTCAACGATCGTTACTACGGCCAGTGGGCGGCGATGAACGTCCCGTTCCGGAACTTGGAGGACTTGCAGTGTGAGGTGGTGCAGAGGCTCGTGCCATCGAAGTATCAGCATCTCGCCACAGCGCTGAAACTCTGCAGCGATCGTCAGAGAGTGTCCGAGGAGTTCCAGGACATGTTTGTCGACCAGGCAAAGTTCATGAATCTTATGAAGGTCGCTGGCAATTCCCAGAAATTCAGCGAAGCCGTGCATCGCATGATCGTCGGGCAGAGAAAGCTCATCGACATGTACCTCACGGGCGTGCTGAACAAGGAGGACGAGAAAGGTGGACTGGACGCCGAGGCCGTGGCGATGGGCAACCGAAGACACGCGCGTGAGGATGCGCAGGGCGACGTGGTTTTCCTCCGGAAGCAACTGCAGTTCGAAGAGGCGGTGAACGACAGCGTGGACCGTGCCCTGCTGGCCAATCATTCGGAGGACTGGGAGATGGCAGATCAGGCGCGGGAGGAAGCTTTCGAAAGAAACAAACCTATCATCTGTCTGGGGAAGCCAGGGACAGGGAAGACCACTGTGGTAAAGGCCTGCATCCGCCGCGCACAGGAGGGAGGCGGCCGCGTCTTATTCGCCCTCCCGACCGCGCAGCTGTCGAGCCGCATGAAGCAAGCGCTGCAGGATCTGGAGGGAGTGGAGATAGCGACATGCCATGCCGCCTTCAAGCTGAATGAGCCGATCACCGAAGCGCTCCCGCTCATGACCGTGTACGACTTGGTGGTGGTGGACGAGGTGTCGCTCCTGGATTGCCCGCAGTTCGAGCGCATGCTGAAACTGTGGAGCGTGGCGGAGAAAGTGCCGGCTCTGGTTTTCCTGGGAGATAAGTATCAGCTTCCGGGTGTCGGAGAGACACGCCCGTGGGAGAGCTGCGCGTGGGATCGCCCGAGGTGCTATCACGTCAAACTGGACGAGACATGGCGCTGCAAGGAGCAGCGCTTCCAGGACATTCTGGACGAACTCCGCACAAGCAAGCCATCGAAGGACACGCTACACAAGATCTGCCGCGGTCGCAAGGCGTGGAAGAGCGGGGAGCCGACCCCAGCGGACCTGAAGGCGCTGTTTGAGAAGCACCCGGACACGCGGATTGTGACCTGCACGCGCAAGGGTGCCGCCACCGTGAACGCGGCGGCCATCGTTGCTCTCTACGGCCGGAAGAGCCCCCTGGCCAGTCTCCCCGGGGACGTGGAGCTGAACCCGGAGAACTACTGGGACGGCAAGTTCCGCACCGACCGCCAGCCCATTCCCAGCGCTGTCCCCGTGTACAAGAGGATGATGGTGTACCTGACGAAGAACGTGCGGAAAGAGGATGACTTCGTGAACGGGATGCTGTGCGAGGTGGAGAACTACCATGCAGAAGAGGACATGCTGCGCGTGCGGACGAAGACAGGTCACCGTCTGGCAATTTCTCGGTGGACCGACCGGGAGAAAGGGAATGCCGTTTATTTTCCCATCCGCCCAGGGTACGCGAGCACAATCGACAAGGTGCAGGGCGATGAGTTTCGGCATATTACGATTTACCTCGACGGCTATCCCAGGCCGGCTGCGGGGTACACTGCCTTGAGCCGCGTCGCCACGTCGGACGACTACCTCATTGGTGGCCACGTGGAGCGAGGTAATTTCATTCCCGCATTTTGAGGCGACCGAGTGCGAACGTAGCGCCACAGGCAGCTCAGCGCGGCTGCGGATGGCCACAGGCAACACCAAATTTCGAGGAGCGCGCTTCATGCAGTCGGCGCGATCGAAATCATGCTTCATCTGCTGCTGCGTCGGGTATTCCGCACGGCTTGCTTGCTTTTGCAGTTTCCCTGGAAGTGGATAGTGCAAGTGGAGCGCATTCCCATCGCAGACCCAGAGATCGTTTGCAGAGCACGTGTATGTCAGAACGCGCGCGGCAGCATGTAGTGCGCACGTGTGCAGGAGCAGAGTGCAGAGTAGCACATGTAGCAGGGCGATGCTTTCCACGAGCGCTCCACAGTGCGCCGCCTGGATTATCCGTGGCATGCGAGAGACGCATTGGCGATGCAAGCATTTTTGTTTCGCAATGTCTGTGCCCCCATTAGAGCAGGTGCCTTGAGACGTACAGGACAGTGTCGGGCATGCTTTACGTGTGTCAGAGCAGACGAGTGATGTAGCGGCGATGCGCAAGAGTAGCGATCGGTAATGATGGAAGTAGGCCAGGGGTGGCGCTGGACGCATGGGCGACGCATCGCGCAGGAGTAAGCAATGTGCTTTCAGCAAGAGAGATTTCACACAGGTGTTGTCATTCAGAGACTCGAAGTGGAGAGGCGACGCACGGGAAGTGTTCGGGAACACGATGCATATCATCGAACGCGCGCGTGTTCGCAGGTGGGAAGAGGGAGAGCGAGGGGGAGGGGTCTGGCTCCCCCTCGCACACTGTTGGGAGGGCGTGTCTGCGCCCAGGATGGGAAGCACAACCGCATTGGCGATGGATCGCAGGAGTGCATGAGGTATCTGTGCGAGCAGGTTCTTTTGGAAAGGCCACGAACGGCTGATGTCTTTGCAATGTACGTCTCCAATCGCAGAGTTCGATGGTTCGGCGATGCGCTCCAGCTGCCATCATTGCATGGTTGACAGTGTGCTTTGCACTGCGTGGGCGCCCGATGCATTGGCGATGTGTCGCAGTACTGCGTGGAGAGTACGAGTGCCGAGACTTGCACTGATTTGCCCTTCGAGCCCCTGAGCCTGGCAGCGCCTGGAAGCGCTTGGGAGCGTGCCGGGAGCGCCTGGGAGCGCGCCGGGAGCGCTTGGGAGCGCCGGGGAGCGCCTGGGAGCGCTTGGGAGCGCCTGGGAGCGTGCCGGAAACGCTTTGGAGCGTACCGGGAGCGCTTGGGAGCTTGGGAACGCTTGGGAGCGCCCGGGAGCGTGCCCGGAGCGTTGGGAGAGTCCTGGGGAGCGCCTGGAGCGTTTGGAAGCGCTTGGAGCGCCGCACGCGGTAATTTCATAGGTTTGGAGCACCCAGGGAGCGCCGCATGGTGTATTTTCATAGGTTTGGAGCCCCAGAGGGAGCATCGGCCCCCCAGGGACCCGCTTGCTAGGGCTGAGGGTTAGGGGTTCCTTTTCTTGGGAGAACACCACGGGGATGCACCGCGCGGCGTGCGAATTCCTCCTCAGCGGCTATCGCCGCTTCGTCGGTGCGGCGCACGCTGTATGGGCAGGCTCGCTGAGCGCTCGGCCAGGCGCCACGGGCTACTGACGTTGCACCGCCCGTGGCTTGCAGTTTAGGGTTTAGGGTTTAGGGTTTAGGGTTTAGGGTTTAGGGTTTAGGGTTTAGGGTTTAGGGTTTAGGGTTTAGGGTTTAGGGTTTAGGGTTTAGGGTTTAGGGTTTAGGGTTTAGGGTTTAGGGTTTAGGGTTTAGGGTTTAGGGTTTAGGGTTTAGGGTTTAGGGTTTAGGGTTTAGGGTTTCCGAGCAGAACCATCCTATCCCCCCCTCACCAGGGTGTAGGGGGGGATGGATGGGTGCGTTGAGTCCCGCCCCATCCGCCCAGAGTCATTGCTTTTAGGGTTTAGGGTGGTCTACCCCCCTCGCTCCCCCCTAGCAAGGGGGGAAGTGTGCAGGCGTCGGCAAGAGTGAGTGGCCGCGTACCAGGGATGAATGAGAAGAGTCGTCCTTCGCGAAAGTTACGCGTGCGACCTAGGCCCGCGCGGGCGGGGGAATGTGAATCCGGTATATCGGTAATTTTCCTTGGTTTAGCTCTCCCAGAGAGGTCTGCGCACGCTCTTGAGGATATGTTTTGTTCACTACCCTGGGAACGATCCTCTGGGAGCTCCTTCACGCCAAGAGCTCTGGAGGGGAGCTCTGGGGGGGAGCTCTGGGGGAGAGCTCTGGAGGGAGAGCTCTGGGGGAGAGCTCCGGGGGAGAGCTCTGGGGGAGAGCTCTGGGGGAGAGCTCTGGGGGAGAGCTCTGGGGGAGAGCTCTGGGGGAGAGCTCTGGGGGAGAGCTCTGGGGGAGAGCTCTGGGAGAAAGCTCTGGGGGAGAGCTCTGGGGGAGAGCTCTGGGAGAGAGCTCTGGGGGAGAGCTCTTGGGGAGAGCTCTGGGGGAGAGCTCTGGGGGAGAGCTCTCTGGGGGAGAGCTCTGGGGGAGAGCTCTGGGGGAGAGCTCTGGGAGGGAGCTCTGGGGGAGAGCTCTGGGGGAGAGCTCTGGGGGAGAGCTCTGGGGGAGAGCTCTGGGGGGAGCTCTGGGGGAGAGCTCTGGGGGGAAGGGGGTCTCGTTGTGGGAGCCCACAAGGAGCCTGGGGGAGCTCGTTATGGGAGCCCACAAGGAGCCAAGGAGCCCGGGGGAGCTCGTTGTGGGTACCCCCCAGAATCCTCCGTGATGCCGGCATCAGGGAGGATTTTGGCCGGCGGACGCACAGAACCTTTGGACCATTGGATTTACGCCTTCGGCAATAAAACCTGCCCCAGCGCGCTCTTCCAGAGAAACCAAGCGTTCTGGGGTCAGTTTTAAGCAAATCCGGAGGTTTTTAAGCGCCGATACAAGTGCTTGGATATCAGAGAGGCTGCATGCGAGCGCGACAAGGGGGACCAGCGCGGCGGCGGGCAAACCCAAGCGCTAATTTTACGATTTCGGCTATCTAAGCGCCGCAGCGCGCTTCCGTAGCGAAGCCAAGCGTCCTGGGGCAGTTTCTAAGGAAATCCAATGGTTTTTAAGGGAAAGCCTAAACCCGCGGCCCAATACCCTAAACTCACCAGGGCCGGCCGCGATTTGGGAGCATCCGGCCCCGGGTTAGGGGTTATGTGTTTCTGAGCGAGACACAGCCTCAGGCCGGCAGGCCGA